TGACCCCAGGGTTGGGGGCAGCAGCTTTCTTGGGGAAATGGTACAGCCTTCATAAAAAATACAGATTTACCAGAGATAGATTAAAGCTAGGCCCAAAATATTTTCATGTCTTTTTTCTTTTCAGAGACAGTTAAAAAAAAAAAAAAACCTCATGAAACCACATGCTTTGCTGTCTTGGTTGTTTCCATGCCAGCAGCAGCACAAATGAGACTTAAAACATTTCCAGGCTGTTGGCTGTCCATTCTCGTGGCCTAGTATTTTCTTGATACTTGGACAGTTCTGTTCTCTTGCAAGTGTCTGTTTGGGGAGGAAATGCCTCATTCAGGCAGAGCCTGAGGCCAAGGCTTACTACCCTGCCTGGCTTGTTGGTGTCCCAGTTTCTTGAACAACTCAAGGGGGCTCTGTAAGGCCCATGAGATAAAGAAGTCCATGAAATTAGATTAAAAAGAGAACGATAGCATTGAAGAGCGATGTATGTAAGCCAGCCTTAAATACTATGGCCACTTCCCCTGCCTCACACAGGTCTCACCTCTGGGCCACTATTAATGACCTAATCTGTTTTAGCTGATGGGATCTTGGTGGAGTCCTGCCTGCAGGCTCACTCTGCTGCTCAGGGAACAGTAGCACTAGCAGAAGGGAGCAGGCGAGGCTGAGCACAGTAGGTGGCACTGCATGGGCAGCAGGATGGGGCTGAGTATCTATTGAGTTAATATGTTTGGGGGAGGGGGATTTGGTTTTCAGCTTGTACCTGGAAAGCAAAGACCAGGCCACCTTTGTCTGTGTGCCCCATGACCCAGCCAGGACCTTTACCCAGAAAGGTACTGAGGTAGATACTTACACAGAAAAGCCCTAACGAAGCGGACTGTTGCTTCTGGCTGGGAAGCCATGGGGCAGCTGTTGGGGTGGGCATCAAGGGAGGGGCCATGGCCTCCGTTATGGCTGACTAGAGCTGAGGGGTGTCTGGTGGGAAAACCTTGACATACAAAGGCTTCATTCTTAAGTCACTCCCATAACAGGCTGCTGCTGTTGCCTCTTGCAGTCTCTACAAGTGGGGTCACTGTCTCTGCCCATTAGCCTGAGGCCACATGGACAAGTCAGCTGAGCTTTGTTACCTGGGCAGGCCTATGCCTGAGTAGGTGGCCCATCCCTGGTCTACCCTGGCCAGGGCTGAGCCTCAAGAGAATAGAAGTTGGCAAATGGGGGACAGTTTGTCCTGGAGCAGCAGTTTTACCTTGCAATGATGTATTCCTGTGATGCTTTGAACTTCACTCTTCTTTGCTTTCTCCAGACATTTTTGAGGCCACACAGGCCTCAAGGGCATTAACAGGCCCATGCAGTGCTCTTTGTGGGAACAGTCTGAGCTGCTAGGAGAGGCTGGGTGAGATTTTTGCCCGAGGGCGTGGTGGGCCCAGGCAAATGCAAGGCCCGGGTGTGGGTGTGCTCTGAGAGGGTGTCTACTCACCAAGGCATTCTGGGCAGAGCACACAACTGCCCTATTGTGACAGCCACATTTTTCCCTGGCAGGTGGGATGTGCCACCAGCTGGGGCATTCCGTTTGGTTTTTGGTTTTCCCTGTGGCTAAAATAGCTGACTTTTGAGTCAACAGTTTTCAAGGTGACGCCTGGATTCACAGCCCAGAAACAGGTACCTGTGAGGGATGGATCCGGAGTGGAGAATAATACCCAGTGGCAAACTGTGATTTGCTTATGACAGAATTCACCAACTAAATCTTGTATCTTTTTGCCTTCCTACAAAGTACAAGGGACCCAGTTATTCTAGACAGCTAGGGCAAGGGTGGCCTGGGGTGCTTTTAGCTGCCCTTATCTGACACACAGTCGTGAGCCCAGAGCTCAGGGAGTCTTCCAAAGCCAGGGTGCCATGCAAGGCTGAGGCTGTACCTCTAAAACCTGTCTCCCGTCGGCCCTCTCTAGGTCTAAGAAAAAGAGGCCTCCAGCACCCTGCTGCAGCTGTAGCCAGTGCTTAGGGCCTTAGAGTGGCTAAGTTAGGGAATATAGAATTTATTTCCAGCCCCTGTGATTTGCTTATGACATGGAATCATCAGGGGCTGGAAAGTCTGCAGCAGGTTCCATGCCTGGTGAGGGCCTGTTCTTCACAAACGGTGCCCTCTGGCTGTGTCCTCACAGAGCTTCCACTGGCCTCTTTTCAGGGCACCAATCCCATTCATGAGGACTCTACCCTCTGGAGCTAATCATCTCCCAAAGGCCCACCTCTTAATACGTGCACATCAGTATATGAATTAGAGGGGGCACACATTCAGACCATCACACGGGCCTCAGACAGGACTTACCACTGTACCTTAGGTCATTTTCCAGGCAAGATCAGGCAGGACGATAAGTCCAGTAGGAATGAGGAGGTGAGTGCTGAGCGCGCCGCACTGCTGTCCAGCATTAACCCCAGCTCCCTTTCCCTTGTTCTTGTATCTCATAGAGAACAGTGGCACTAAACAGACATGGCCAGACCCAAGTCCTCTTGGCTACAGTGCCTGTCAGAGTATATTACTTGAGACACTTGGGCTAAGACTAGACTTTGTATTTCTTTTTATATACCTGTTCTGGCCGAGAACAGACAGCGCAGCCAGGAATGGGTAAGGGTGGGTCCAGCTCCTTGGGCTTGTGAGTCCTTACTGGGTCTCCTCGCCCAGGAGCACATAGTGGGACATGGAGATTGGGTTCTCTTTGCTCTTTCTTGTGCCGTCCTGCTGAGGCCTCTTGACAGTGGCTGAGGGGCAGAAGGGGCTCTTCCTTCACAGGCATCTGGAACCTGTGCCTTGCCACATATCAGGTTTACCTTTGGAAATGCTGACCCCTAGTCCTGATCTAGGGGTGTAGCTGTGGTGGGAGAAGGGATGTGCTCAGTGTACCAAGGGGCTGCATCGAATCCCAGTACATCCCAGGATGGGGCTTGTAGCTGGCCTTGGGGCTGTCTGTGGTCTTGGGCCAGCATCTTTGGTTGAACTGATGGCCCAGCCCTTCTTTCTTAGGTGCTAGTGCTGAGTCCCCAAGCATCATAACCTTTCCCTTTCTCATGCAGTCAGAAGAGTCCAAGAGCAGCAAACTCATCAGAAGACTTTGCTCAGTGGAGTGTTCAGGAACAATGAGCATGATGACCCTGGCAGGTGCAGCCAGCTTCCTCCAGAGAGTCCCTTTTATTTTCCGTCTGCCAAGCCTATTCCAGCAACTCATTTGCTGTGACAGCCAGTGGTCATCTTTATTTCAAAGCGACACACACACTACAGCCTTTGAAAGGATTAGGGCCCTTGGGATGGGTCTGTGATCACAGCATCAGCAGGCATGTGGAATAGGTGACAGCAGGTACTCCAGGTCCTAGCTGCAGAGAAGCCACAGCCTGTAGCTCCTCTCCCTTGCCTCTGTGTCAGCTCTCCTTGTCATGATGTCGGGCTGGGCCTGGGCCATGAGCGCCTGCGCCGCCCATAGCCTGTGTCATGTCTGCTGCTACACTAAGCATCTGACTCTGGGGAGAAGAGGGCCCACATTTGTCTGCCTTGAAGCTGTCATGTATCCACACCCACGTGGACACCGTGTCAGACCTGTGCCCTCTTTGGTAGGTGGCTCCAAGCAGGACAGATCTGCCCAGCCTTGACGCAGCATGGAAGCTGCAGCTGCTGCTCATTAGGCCTCAGTGCTGCTCCCCACACAGTGCATTGCTGGCAGGCAGGGAAGCTCTCATACAGTCACGCTCTCTCTGGGGCCTGCAAGGGCCCTGTGAGAAAGGAAAGGACTGTCATAGGCCTCTTTCAGATGACGCCTCCAAGATTCCCAGCTGGCGAGTACCAGAAGCAGCCTGGAGCCAGGCCCTCCTTTGACGTGTCAGTGGGGATCCACCCTCCCACACAGTGTCTGTGGAAACGCAGCCCATAGCCCTCTAGAGATTAAGCATCTACGTCTGCAGACAGGGCCTAGAAGTCACAGAGAACTGGCTTCCTGGCTCCACTCTGATACACACCAGCCTTGGGCTATCAGTGTACACAGTAGGAAGTCAGTGGGGTGGGCATTATGGCCCCCATGTACAGCAGTGTGACCTGGGGATGCTCCCATTTAACTCAGACCCTTCTCACAGGGATACTGCTTTCTTTATGTTGGATGAACTCACTGCTACTGTGGGGAATGGCTGTATAGATCATGTCTGAAAATATACACTGTACCCAGCCATCCCTGCAGGGGACTTGAGTTACTCTTTGTTTTAAAAAGGACTGATGGTAACTAGGGATATTGATGTGATGGCTGGTATATAATTCAGTGGTGGAGCATGGGTTTAACATGTGCAAGCCCCGCCTCAGTATTCATGTTGCTGAATTTTTGCACATATCTTAAATTGTTCTCTTAAAATCAAAATCTTAGTACATTTGGATTGGCCTTCATGGGTTTCATATCCTTGAATTCAGCCAACCTTGGATTGAAAAAATTACGAAAAAAAAAAGCATCAGTACGAAACATGTGTAAACTCTTTTTTTTAAGTCACTATTCCCTAAATAATATAGTATTACAAACCATATACATACTTGCACTTACACTGCAATAGGTATTTTGAGTAACCTAGAGATTATTTAAAGTGTATGAGAATATGCATGGATTATAGGCAAATACTGCATCATTTTACATAAAGGACTCAGACAGTGAGGACAGTCCTGAAACCAGTCCCAGACACGGAGGGACACCATGGAATCACCACATTGAAGCTCATCTTTCTGAGAGGTGTACAGGAAGTGTTGCGGGTCTGCTTCACTGCAGCTTCCCCAAGCTTGTTACTTAACATGTTGCTCTTTGACAGTTAAGTAGATAAATAGCTGAATTTTGCATTTCTTTGAAGCACGTAGATCACTGGCCAGCAGTATTTCCTCTTGAGTGCTATCTGGCAGACCAAATACCAGCAAGGCTTTGGGTCGGCTTTGTGGGGTGCGTGGTCCCGTGGTTTCAGGAGAGAGCGTGGCTCTTTTAACCTGTGTGTCTGCCCTTTCACAGAACTGTCAGACCTTCAGCAGCCTCAGCTGCCTGAGCACGGGGATGGAGGACTACAGCCCTCAGAGCCCCTTCGCTGTCCACGCCAGCGGCACCCGGTCCTGGGCCACCTTGCTGTCAGCCTCCAGCCCAGGGGGCAGGACCCCTGCCGGGACCCCAGCCCCTGAGCCTTTCCCTGCCTCCTTTGATGACCGCCTCACCTGCCCGGAGGACCTGTCTTGTGAGGAGTCAGATGGCTGCTCCCTGGATGGGGACTGTGGCAGAAAGGGGGAGCTAGCTCCAGCCTGGAGGGACTGTGGGGCCACTGGGAATAGCCTCTGCTCACTGGATGGCGAGTTGGACATTGAGCAGATAGAGAACAACTGAGGGGCTGAGACCCTGGTCCAGGCTGGGGGTGCTTCTCTCTGGGCCCTATGTGGACACTTGCAGGGGGGACCCCAGCCCCTTCCCCAGAGGTTTCAGGTCCCAGGGAGGAGCTGTCTGGCTCCGTGAAGGCTGGCCTGGCTGTGCCCCACAGCGGGACACGTCAGCCTCTCACCAGCTGTCAAGCACGTCAGCCAGTGGGTCCACGGAACTACTGTAGCCCACAGAGCAGCTTTTTGGTTTGGTCTTTTCTGCCTTGTTCCTTGTGCGATGTTGGGCAGTTATTCCCGGCAGGGCTGGGGCCAGGTCCATTGGGCCATTTCTGGGCTCTGCTTGGCCTCATTCAGGTTCACTCGGGGAGTCGGCCCCAGTCTTTCACTCAGTTTATTCTGTGCCTTCTTTCCCAGGTCTCTCTGCTCCCGGGAAGGTGCAGGGGACACTCCTTCTGTAGTAACACCAGAACCATTTGGCCTTAATCCCACACAGGGGCACCAGTGTGGCCCTCTCAAGGGTAAGCCCTGGTCTTGACTCTAGGGTGCTTGTTAGACACCATCGCACTGGGTAGACCCTTGGCTGAAGGGCATATCCGTTTGCCTTGTCAAGGTCACAGAGCAACTGCTCCATCCCCTGCCCCTTGAAGGGCTGCCTTGGCTGCTGCTGATGGCAGCCATCTCCAATGGCTCCTGGTTCCTGAATCACAAGCTTGATTGATTCAGGTGAGTGAAGGGATGTCATAAGAAAAAGGCGACTTCTTAAAATGCCCTCAGGAGACAGGAATGTGAGCAGGAGCACAAACCCAGCCCCTGTGCAGGTTTCAACGGTGAAGTATGTCTGGGGCTGTTCTTGGAGCCAGGGAGGGCCTTCGAGCTCCCTGCAGTATCCCAGTGTTTCTCAGTGCACATTCTCCAGTGTTTGCAGGCACCAGGCTTAGGCAGAGTGCTCTGTCCCCTGCAAAACACGAAGCCCTGTCTGGTGAAGGAGCCAGTCCTAGGTGCTGCCTGCGTAAGGCAGCCGCAGCCACCAGCATGGCTTGTCTCAACCTACACCCTCCCCAGCCCCTCTCCCCTGGCACAGACTGTCCCTCAGGCTGTGTGCTCAGGAGCCCCCCAGCCCACCTCACACCCATACCACAGGCCTCCGTGCTCTGGGAACGTGGCTGTTAGCAAACTTGGCATCTTCTACAAACAATAGTAAGTGGGCTGGCTAATGAGTGGCTTATTTTCCCATAAGGCTGAAAATCTCTGGTGTGTTCTCTTATGTTCGCTGAGATGTGATCAAAACACTGTTGCAGTCACTTTGCTTTTGCTTCCATTCCATGGACCAGCAAGCGACTCACGTCAGCAAATTGAGTTCAAATGTTTCTCACCTTTCTCCACTAAAGAACCTGGTTGGGAAACTTCGTTTAAATCTTCACTTTTCCTTATACCAGAGGGTAGTGGCTCCAGTTTTGATTTGTAGGTAGTATTTCTTTAAAAATCAGCCAGAAGTTGCTTGCAGGAAGCCCTATCCTCATGGCCCTCAGAGGCTGCGTGGACAGCTTCAGGGTGGACAGCGTAACAGGTATGCCCAGCACATCCTTTGGTGGAGACCCAGCTCACCCATTTGCTGTGTCTCCCGCCAGAGGCCTAAAAAGCCAAATCAGAGTGTAGGCAGCTCTGGGTGGACAAAAATATGGCACCTCACCCCTGTATGTTGATGGTGGAGGCCTCATCTTCTCAGAGCAAGTTGGAGGAGGAGGAAGGTAGTTGAGAGGATATAGCAACGCACTGCCAGTGCCTTTTCCCCAGAAAACCAGGAGGGGGTTCTGGTACCTGGTGTGACCATACCAAGCATGGTGACAATGGGAGCACAGCCCCAAGCAGAGAAAGGCAGAGATAGGGTTCCTTCTGTCTGGTCCACTCTGCAGGGCCAGCTAAGGCCAAGACAGGCAGCAGCCACCAGCTGCCTCTCCTAAGAGTCAGGGTAGGAGGCACCTACTGGCAGGTGTGTCGTGGCTGTAGTGCTGGTGACCTGTCCTCTTGGCTAAAGAACAACTAGTGGAGCTTACTGAGTCACAACCTAATCTAGCCCAGGGGTCCTTAAGGACAAATGTCCAGGCCCATGGGGCATTTGGCCCTTTCCAGCCTCACAGGCCCTTTTTAACTATCCTGTCCCTGTTCCCCTAGCGCAGGCAGGTAGCAGTGGCAACTGAAGGACAATATGGTGGTGCCTTTCTGGTTATAGAAAGAAATGCCCTCCCTTTCACTTTGTGGTCTTCTTTTGATTGAGCAGGCCCCCTCTAGGAGGTGTCCTGCTGACTTAGCAGCCATACTGTTCTGTGGTCCACTCTGCTGGCCCCAGGACTCCGTCTTGGTGCTCTTGGGCAGGAGTACCCGGAAGACCTCTCTGGCCCCTCCTATGGGCAGTGGGCAGGTGGGCTCACCCTCACCAGCATGGTGGCTTCAGCTGGTGGCTGCAGCAGAAGCCTTGCCTTGTTGGTTGGGTCTGTGAGACCTGCCTTTGGCAGAGCTGAGGAGGTGCAAGCTCTGGAGAGTAGACTGAACCAGGTGCCCAGAGGCCTGGAAGGATACGTGGAGTAGGAAGTGGGGTTTCCTGACATGCAGTGTCCCCATTCACTCCAGAAGCCACTGAACTGACAGGAGCTGCCTTTGGTCTAGGTGCCAGGCCTGGGTCAGGGCCACAGCCTAGCCGTTTACATGACTGCAAACCCTCTTGCCTTATTCTTGGGCAGTGGAGGCTAGAGCCTGGCCCAGAGGCTGGGGAAGACACATCCCGGCCCCAGGGAGCTTGTTCTTAATACATAGAGATCTTCATCCTCAGAAAGCCTTACTTTTCAACCAAACTTTTATATCAGGAAAGTTTTTGAATTTGTACATTGAATGAAAATTTTCGTAAAAGGCCACATAGAAACGAAAACCCATTTCCAGACGGGGCTCCTGGTATAGATCAGTGTGACGCTCTGACACTACCAAGGGGTGTTCAGGGCACTGTCTGCCCGAGCAAGCTTCCCCTGCAGTGAAAGCACACCCTAGGTCCTGTGCCCCACATGAGCCTGGTGGCCATGGGGCAGCCAGCTGAACACCTAGGGCTCTGCCCAAGTAGGCGGTGATGCTGCACCTTGCCATACCCATGCTGCTGACCAAACCCTTCCCCCTGGCACCAGAGAAAACCATGCTTCTTAGACGAGAAAGGTGGTTTAACAAGTTGCAGCCCGTAAGTGGGGCTTTCGTAGCCTAGGTAGGATAGTCTGACCTTCTAGCATAGTTTTGTTGGCAAATGAATTGAGTTGTCAGTGCGTGGGGGCAATGCTGGGAGTTGGGGGACAGACATGTAGGCCACACCAGGGTTACGTGGATTTCTTCCACCCCTGCAGTGTCATGTTGCAGCGCTTCAGCAATCCTGGTGGCCAGGGTAGTGCTGTGCCAGGTTCCTGCTAGAGCAAAGCAGTCTGCACACACAGGCGCTGGGGCTTTCCTACCACCGCTGCCCTCCGATCCTGTCCTCCCACGCAGGCCACGACTGTCTTGCACTAGAGCCGCTCTAGTCTCAGGAATTTGCTTGTTACTTTTACTGTGTAAATAAAGCTTCCGGGATCAATACCCAAAGGCCTGGTATGGCTGTGTGGTTTCTGTTGGGCATGGTGAACCAGCAGGTCCCCCTCCCCTCTGCACTGCAGGCTTGAAGTACAGACCTCAGAGTCTGGCACGGAGCATTGGACAAGGTAACCTGCAGGATGGCTGTGGGAATAGCTGTGGGAGTCGCTCTGGCCTTGGGCAGCCTCCTAGCCTCATAGGCAGGCCAGTGCCCAGGGGCTGGGGTGTGTGTGTGTGCAGTCAAGGGTATGAGAACCTAGCCCTTTGCACCATTCAGGACAGAGATGCCCCACTGACAGAGATGCTTGCTGTCACTTCTGAGGCAAGGAGGAGTGGAGGCACCCCGTGAGCCACCTTCAGCCTTGCCAAGAGGCAGAACTATGCAGTACACTCCAGGTCTTGCCACAGGGAAGCATCAGCCTGACCTGGAGCTGTGAGACCACCAGGACAGCCCAGGAGGTGGCACAGGCTGGCCTGCCAGCTTGGGGCCTCTGTCTCTGGCTTGGCTCCAACCCCAACTGCCTGGGCTGTGGGGACTCCAGCACAAACAGCTCTGCTCAGCGTGGGCACACAGTCCCGTTCCTGGCCCTTCCAACCAGGTTTGCCAGGAGCCAAGCTGAGAAGGACAGCGTGTCAGCAGCCTGGGGTTCAGGTGTGGGGAGGGTCATTGTTTCTGTAACCCAGAATTTGCCCCCCAAATCAGTCCTTGGAGTTTTTGCCTCATCCAGCTGCTAGGACCTGAGAATCCTCTTGGAGTGAGCTCTGGAGTGTTTTGCTTTTTGGGTTTCCATCAGCAGATCCTGTTACACAAAGGTCTGTGAACACTTAGTGCAAGAAATAAGTGAAGCAAGGCTCCGGGGACCTGATGACCCTGTCCCTACTGATCCCAGGTGATGGCCTGGCATTCCCAGCCCCGTCTCTGCCTAGTGCATGCCTGGAGGGGCAGAGGACAAAGGAGGTTTCTGTCAAGCACAATGGCCCCTATGTGTTATCTGCCTGAGGGGAGGGCACCCTTATCTCCACCCCAGATGGCTCCAGTCCCCTGCTTTGGTACCTCCTCCCCAGAGATGCATCCTCTGCTCTGGAGGTTTGGTGAAACCAGGATATGCAGCCCCGTGTGCAGGCTATGGAGCTCCCTGAGGAGCAACTCCACCCTCTGCTGTCAGGCCCAGGTGCAGGGCTCACCACAGTGTGGTCCCCAAATCAGGCTGGCTCACAGATGCATCTGACATGTCTGACATGGGGCTCTGGCAATGAGCAGACTCCCTTGTCTGTACATAGGGATCACTTCCTCATGGGCTTCCATGACAGACTCAGTGCCATCCCTGCCACACCGGGCACCAGCCCTGTCCAGAGTGTTATTGGGAAGAAGGCCGAGGAAATGTGCTAGTCAAGGCAGTGTCCATACCTTCAGTGGCTTTTGGTTTCGTTTTATAGTTTTCTGTTAAATTTCCTACAATAGTATGTTTTGCTTCTATAATCTAAAAATAAAATGTCAAAACTAAAAAAAAAAAAAAAAAAAAAAAAGAGAGAACACGAAGTACCCAGTATATTTTATCTGAGAGGGAAAGCTGGAGGTATTGGTAATCATGCTCGGATGGCAGGTGGCTCCTTGAGCACCCTGGAGGCATGCCACATGTCAGTCCCTCCTGGGTCACCACCTCTGCTCTAAGCTGAACATGCAGGAGCCTGTCCACCTGCCTACCCATCTGCCGTAGGGCACAACACAGTCAGCAGCAGCCAGGGCCTGGGTAGGGGTGGCCTTCCTGAAGGCACTAAAGAGAAAGCAATGCAGGACCAGACCTTGATTCCGCTCTCCACTTTACTGCTTGATGGCTCTTGGACAGGCAAGTCACTTTATCTTGTGCAGTTCATCTGTAAAATGGGAATGACAGCGTCCTCTTCACTAAGCCTGCTGCAGCTTAGAGAGCAGAGTGTTCTCTGTCAAGACAAAGCAAGGATCCATGTACTAAGCAGCTCTTGAAGAGGAGTCTCCATTCACCTGAGAGAGACCAGCCTCTCCTCCATGGGGGTCTGCCCTGGCTGCAAGCGATTGCTAAAGAGAGCTAGGAAGGAGAGCCAGCTAAAAATGAAAGAGAAAGGGAAAAACAGACTCACATGTATAGTCCCACTGCACTCGACCTCCATGTGTGTGTGTGTGGGGGGGCATGTCCAGGACCTGCACACACTCCTGTCCTATGAGCTATGATGGGGCTTCTGTCAAGGAGCGGCCATTTTGGGTATTTTCCAACCAACAGGCCAAAGTCCTGCCCTCCAGTGCCAGTGACACTAGCTTGGCTGGTGGCCTCTCACCTTGATGAAAAGACTTGGCCACCATTTCCTCCTAATCCTCACTGAATGGTGTCCAGCCTGCCCATAAGGCCCTCGTCACTTCATGGCTACCCAGCCAGGGGACTCCGGCTTCAAGGTCCAGTGCTTTATCACTGCCTGCTTGGTTCAATGGAAGTGCTATTATGGAGGGCCCCTAACTTTTAGGCGAAGCCACCTCCTAAGATTTCTCAGAGGCTTTAGGGAGAAACAGCAATCAAGTTAACCATTTAGCAGACTAACTTGGGAGAGCTGAAGTGGTTTAAAAGTGAATTGGGGTGCAGAGGCCCCACAGCCTTGGTCTGGAAAATGCTCTTTCAGCTGCCAAAGGTTCACATGTAGACGGTCTGACCGCCCAGGGTGGCAGGAACTGCCAGGGCCTTTAAAAGATGGAGCCTACTAGGAGGTTGATAGGTCAGTTGGGTACATGCCCTTAGCAGGGATTTTGTGCCTGGACTCTGGCTTCCTCCCCTCTTCCTCTTACTGATGCTCCTGTGCCAACAGGCCACGAGGTCCACACTGAAGCCCGGCTGATGCAGGTACTATGCCCTTGTGACTCCAAAACTGAACTAAATAAACCTATCTTCTTTCTAAAGTTAGCTTGCCTGAATTATTTTGTTGAAGTAATGAAAGGTGAATAGGGGAAGGCAGTGCCAATGTCTGCTGTGATTTGCCTTTTCCCAGGTGAGGCTGAGGGCAGCTCACTGTCCCCTCTAGGCCTCAGTTTCCTCATCTGTTAAAGAGATCAGATAAGTGGTTTCATGCCCCTGCCACTCTGACATTCAGTGGCTCCAGCACATGGCAGAGCAGGGTCAGTGTTTGAGACCCTCCCAGGTCCCCTCTCCCACACAGTCCACAGGACCCTTGCTGGCAGTCAAAGCTGAGTTTATTGAGCCATTAGCTTCTCCGGTATACCGGGCACCATAGAGTAAGGTGTGCCCAGTGCTGCTCCAGAGTACTTTCTGAGCCTGTGAGCTTGATTAGAGAGGCTGAGAGTCTCCTGGAAGAGGGTATCTTTGAAGTGCCTCCCACCAACCTGCCCCCGCCTTTGTCTGCCATGCTGTCTTGTGGGGACAGGAAGAGCCAGGAGCCAGCATTATTTCTGGAGAGGGTGAGTGTTCATCAGCCACTCATTTGGGTGAGGGCACTCTCTAGAGGCCTGCTGATCCGAGCCACCTCCTGGGCCTCACCAGGGGGACAAACCTCTGCCCAGCAGGCTGAGAAGGGGCCTGGCTGGTTGGGCCCAGGGTCAAGGCAGCTTAGAGCTGCCCTTACCTGCCTGTGCCAGGCATGGGGGTTGGGGGCAGTGGTGGAAGGGGCTGGGCACTTCTTGAAGGCCTGTCACTTGTCCGCGTGCTGCAGCAGCAGGTCCACAGCCTCCGCCAGGTTATCCACATACCCATCAGCTTTTACTTCTGGATGGTGCTCATCGCTGGGCCTGGAGGGGGGCCAGAGGTTAGTCTGGTGGAGTATCAGTCCATTTTTCATTACTATACCAAATATCTAAAGGAGAGTGTTTTCAATTCAATTTTACAGGCTGAAAGTCCAAGGGGAGGTCACTGCTTGGCCTCTACTAAGTGACTAATAGCAGACAGTATCATGGCAGAAGAGATTCAGGGGTCAGGTCAGGCTTTGCCAACAGCTCACTCTTAAGAAAAGTAACTCAGGGTCCCCCAAGGACCACCTCAATCCTACCCAAGGGCAGTGTGCCAGTGTCTTCCTACCAGGCTCTGCCTCTTAAAGAGTCCAGCCGCGTCCTACATGGGGGACCAAGCCGCCACAGCACATGAGGCCTGGCCGGAAGCTGGCTAGGGGGCCCCGAGGGGAGCTGTAGCGGAAGGGGTTGTGAGAGAATCCTGAAATTGGAAAGGGCCCCAGGCAGACAGGTAGGCAGGAGACAGGAGCCTGCACAGGACAGGGTCAGTGTAGGCTAGTCTTGACAGCCCCTGAGGAGGTGGGACCTCATTCCAGGAACCCCAGGCTGCCCTTCCTCACTGTTCTCAGGCTGAGCCATGGCCTAGTTCCCTGAGAGGGCCTGGAAGGAGGTGGCTGAGTTGGTCTCACAACATCTAAATGCCACCTTGTCCCTTTCAGAGGTTTTGATTTGTCCAATGGGCTTTACCCTAAGATGACCAGCATGCAAAAAGGCAGTTTTTTCTTTTAAAGGGTTTCAGCCCAGTGACCTAGAGGCCACTTCTGGCAGGGAGAGTCTCCATGGGTACTGCTGAGCTCCTTGGACCAGGGTGGGGGTATTAATGGGGTAGCCCTTAGGAGGGCAGAACAGCATAGATGCCCTTTGTGACCAGGAAGGGTACAGCCTTCGGCTCTGCCTGGGTCCTTGGGCCTCATTAGGCTAAGCTCTGCCCCCACACCTCCTCCTAGGACCCCCACTTGCTTACCCACTCTCATGTAGAGCTAAGGCCTTTAGAATGGGCCCCAACCACAACAATTACAGGTCTCACATCCACTGTTCCCATAGGTGCTCCAGGGAAGGGCTGGTTACTGCCTTCTTACAAGGGAGGGAATGGTCAGAGAGGTTCAGAGTGTTGCTCAAGGTCATAGCCAGGAGCAGAGGGCTAAGTCTGACCCAGTTCTGCTCCCAGACCAATGTCCCTGGTGCCACAGTTTCCAAGAGCTTCTGGGGCAGCTGGGTATTTCATCTCTCCAGATAGAGCACTCTCTGGTACTCTCCAGGCACCAGAGTTGACAGCACCACTCCAAGTGGGCCACCCACTGACGCCAGCAGCAGGGGACAGTATGCCCTTGCCTCCCTGAGTGTGAAGATTCTGCTGCTTATGGGTCAAAATGCTTAATGAGAGATGCCTGCCAGGGTGAGGCCACAAACCATAAACCTTGGGCACAAGTATGCAGGAACTACCCACTTCATTAACAAGTCAAGGTGTAGGAACTTGTGTGTCAGGGTTTCACTTGTGCTGTTGAGACACAGACAACCTAGTCAATGTTGAAATGAAGATCTCCATTATCCTACATCGGAGCAGAACTACGTACCTGTCACTGCTGAAGACTGAAGATGCCAAAGACTGTACAGGATGCAGCACAACAGAAAACTGTTGACACCTACTTGTGACCCCCCAATTGCACCCCTGGGTGTGCTCATGGCAAATGTGCCCCTCTACATCATCAAAAGACTTGTATTAGAATGCTCCAAGCAGCTTTTATGGTGACAGCAAAAAAAAAAAAAAAAAAAAAAAAAAAACCAGGCACCACACAGATGCCCTTCCGTGGGAGGATGGAAAGAGTGCAGATGTGTACATGGGACATCCCGTGACGGGGTGAGTCTGCCCCAGAGTGCTGGAGGGTTCCAGATTCTGAGCTGAGTGGGAGCAGCAGAAGCAGATGTGTTCAAAGAGGTGTACCACGCTGTTCACTTTTATTGCTCTTTACTATGAATGCTCAACCTCAGAAATTTACTTAAGAAGCCACATCTGACGATACAAGGAATACACACCACCATTGGCTACTCCGTGGCTCAGAGCACAGAGGTCGGCAAACTAATCCTGCCTGCAGCCTCATTTAATATGTCTAAAGGTTGTTTAAAAAAATCTGCCATGGAAACTAAATGTAGTCTGCGAAGCTAAAGCAGTTACTCTTCAGGCCCTCAGAGAAGGCCTGGACTTGGCTCTGGCGTCTGCCACCCAGGCTCTCTGGAGCTAGCTCCTGCTGGGAGCAGCGTCCTCCACTTGTAGCCCCAACAAGCTGAGGGATGGCCAGGTGCGCTTCTAGCTGTGGTCTGCCATGGGCCACCTGCCCAGGGTTTGATGCCTTGGTCCTGCTCCCAGCTCCCTGGAGATTCCCACTTTTCTGACCAGAATAGGGAGGTTAGTGCAGGGGCCCCCTGATTAATCAGCCCTACCCAGGGCTCAACTCCTGGATACCTTCACCAAGGTATCAGGCCAGGCTTTCTGTCCCCTCAAATGAAGTCAACCCCAAGAGGGACTGACAAACTCCCCATAAAATAGGACACTATAAGAAGTCTACCAGCCGCAGTGTACGCGCGGCATCTAGCCGAGTGGCGTACATGGCTCATTATGTTTAATTACACATAATTTAAGTGCAAGAATCCACTAAAGAGAAAGCATTGCTTTAGCAGCTGGCCAGTGTTAGCCCACACACAGCAGAAATCATGGACTTTTATGTCTTGATTATGTGGCTTCTGTTCTCAGGGAGCTGGACAGATAGGAGGGGCTCACCCAGGGCCCCGGAACAGCTCTGCTCTGCTCCACGGGCTCCACAGCTGGCCACACCCTCTGACTTGGGAGCTTCAAAATACTGCATTATGGAAGCTATGGTGAGAAACCCAGCAAAGCCATGCTCCATGGCAGTGGGGACATGGCAGAGGGACTGTCCTGCCTGAGCAGGCCCTGCTAGGACAGCAGAACAGCTGTGACCTGGAGGCTGGCAGAGGAGGGACTGCCCCCCTCCAGGAGATGGGGGACACAGAGGCCGGAGGGGAAATGGGGATAGAGCACACAAAGTGGGGAGCAGACAGCAGGCAGCTGAGGGGCTGGGGCTGCCTTAGTGGTATGCACATGGGGACTCTGGTAACCTCTCTGTATGCTGAAACTTGGGTCATCGTTGTGGACGTAGCTGGGAGGGGCTGGCAGCTCCCCATGGAAACCACAACATTGCCCCAGGCCCCCACACAGTACGGATGCTGTGCTCTGGGCCCTCATTGACAGTGGGGCCTGCGCAGGGCTCTTTATCTTGCTGAGCCTCAGTTTTCCCATCTGCGCTCCTCCACTTACCCCCTTTTCCTACACTGGCTCTGGCTCCCTCCCCTCTTTTCCAGTCAATGTAGCTGCTCAACTGCTTCAGAAAGCTGGCCTGCTCCCTGTCACTGCTGTGTAAATTGCCACGGCTCCCTAGTGTCCATGTCACAGTCCAGCAAAGCAGATGAATTCATCCTAAATGGGACCCTCTACACTTCAGCCACCCAGCTTCAGGCATTCCCAGATTTCCCACACCTCTACGGCACTGTGTACAATGTGCCCTGGAATACTCTTGACCCTTGCTCCACTGCAACTCCTACTCACTCCTCAAGGTCCCACCCACTATGGCCCATCACTGACTCTGCTCCACCCCACACAGTGAGTGGCTCTCTTCTCAGAGCACACAGATCTTGGCTCCCATACCCAAAGCAGGTGGGCACCACCCTGCTTCTTCACCTGCCAGCACCTGTGCTAGAGGAAGAGGTGAGGTTTCCTGCCTGCTGTAACCCGCTCCCCATGCAGGCACGGTCTGAGCGGGCACCCAGGAAGTGGCCACCCAATGGTGAACAAAAAGCTTCACAGTCAGGGTGCCACATGGCATCAGCAATGCCTCCCCCTCATGCCCTGAGCCGAATGCAGGGAATGAATGAGAGCAGCCAACAAGGCTGTCCTACTGTGCATGCTGCCTGGACAGCTTCACAGGCTCGGTCTTCATTCTTCGAGCTGGAGGAGGGAAAATGGTGGGAGACGCCCAGCACAGGCACTCAGCAAGATGGACCTCCTGCCACTTCCTCCGGGCCTGGGGAGGAGGGCCTCCACCCAGTCCTGCTGACCCAGAGGACATGGGTGTGGCCTGGTCAGAGAGGTAGGGCCAGCCAGACTGAGAGTCCCACGACAGGAGGCTGCTCACCAGGGGACAACAGAGGCCTGGTACTGGGCTGCCCAGTGCCAGGAGTTCTGGGAAATGGCATTTGAAGGGTGCTGGTGACTAGCCTGTGTGGACAGAGCTGGAGGAAAAGGACAGAATGCAATGAGTCCTGGGCCAGAGGTGCGGAGGCCGGGTGAAGGGGGCCTCTGCATCTGAGCCCCTACCACACAAGACCCCTGGGTGCCCAATTTGGCTTCCAAAAATGCCAGGCGGATATGGCAGGGACCCTGCTTCCTCCACCCACAGAATGAGGTTTCTGAAGGTCAATTACTGGATACCAGGCCACCCGAATGTGCCCATGGGTTTCCTGTTGGCCATTTGTCGGTCCAAAGTATACAGTCAAGCCAACAGCTTTGTTTGAGCTAGTTTGGCACGCAAGAGGTTCAGGATGTCACATACCTGGCTAGCAACCCCTTGGCTATGCTGTCACTAGCAGGGACCTGAGGGTCAGTGACTCCACAGTGGGGTGGATGGGTGGGCAGAGTCATCCACAGATACCAGACAAGTGGTCCTTTGCCTCTGTGCCCAGGGCCAATGCAGAGCTGAGTTCTGGAGGTGCTCAGACACAGGTGGACGCCCTCGGAGCCTCTGGGAAAGTGCTGTGTCCCACTGCTTGCAGACACCTGGGTGTGTGCTCCTTCCTACAAAACTTGTGGCTTCTTCTGCCCCAGCCAGGTCCCATGGCACTTAGGACTTGGTGCTGAGAGGCACATGGAGGGGGTCCTGTCCAGGGAAATCACACAGAAACAGGAGCCTCAGGCTCAGACTGGGCCTGCCTGG